TTATAAAAACTAATCTAGTTTAAATTATAATTTAAATTCCTGCTTAATTAATCCTTTTTTTTTTCTCCCTATTCTTTATATATTATCCACTTGGAACCTTTTTAATTAATCCCCGCCTTTATTATAACCACCTCTAATATAATCCCTATTTAACCCTGGTTAATATACTTAATTCTTTGCTATTAAACCCTAACTTTAACCCACACTTATAAATTATATTCCTAAATCCAATCCCGATTCTTCCTTGATTAATCCCTTATATTAATTAGTTATCTTGTTATATTAATTTAATTAATAATCTCGCCCTTATTTACTCCCTGATTTTTCTGATTAATCTATTTTATTAATTATTCCTAATCTCTAGTACTAATTTTTTTTTTTTATTATTAAACCCTGATCCTTACTAATTTTTTTTTTTTTTTATTATTATAAACCTGTACCTTGTCCTAATTTTTTTTTTACTAAACCCTTATATTCTCCTCTCTTTTCTCTGTTAAACTATTATTATCTCCTATTCTACCTTTATTAAACCCTTATATTTACCCCATTCCTCTACTCTTAAATCCTAATATTGCCCTATTCCTCTATTTATAAACCTAATATTACCTAACTTTTTTACTTATAAAATCCTTATATTACCGAACTTTTTACTTGTAAACCCTTATATTCTCCCCCCTTTTTATTATTAAATAATTATCTTCTCCTAATTTTTCCTTTATTAAACCCTTATATTACCCTGTTCCTCTGCCCTTAAACCCTTATGTTACCCCGTTCCTCTGCCCTTAAACCCTTATGTGATCCTATTCCTCTGTTAATCCCTTATATAATTCCTATTTATTTTTTATTATAACTTTATAAAACACGAATCGTATCCCTATTATTACTTGGTTAAAAAATAAATCTTAAAATATTTAAATACTTTGTATAAATATTAACCCTTTTAAACTATAATACTAATTAACAATCCCTATATTTACATGGAACCCTTTAATTACTATTTAACCACTTATTAATTAAACCCTTCCCGTATCCACTAGTACATACCTTTTCCTAGTATATGCCTTCCCTCCGGTGCATACCTCCCCCGTGTGTATACCCCCCCCCGGTGCGTGTTCACCCCGGTGCGTGTTTACCCCGGTGCGTACCTCCCCGGGTATATGCCTTGCCCTGGTATTCGCCTCCCCCGGTGCGTACCTCCCCTCTGGTGTGTATCTCTCCCCGGCACGTGGCTTCCCCTGGTGTATGCCCCCCCCTGGTGTATACCTCCCGGGTGTGCCTCTCCCGGGTGTGTATTACCCCCTGGTGTGTGTATTTCCTTGCTATATATACTCTGCATATGCTAAAACACTGCCTGTGTATATTCCCTGGTATATATAGTTTGTGTTTATTTACTTTAATATATGCGTCACCCGGTACATGTTTACCCCGGTGCGTACCTCCCCCTGGTATATACCTCCCCTAGTGCGTACCTCCCCGGTGTGTATCTTCCCCGGCACGTGGCTCCCTCTGGTGTATGTCCCCCCGGTATACCTCCTCCGGTATGTGCCCTCCCGGGTGTGTATTACCCCCAGTGTGTGTATTTCCTTGCTATATATACTCTGTATATGCTTAAAACACTGCCTGTGTATATTCCCCTGGTATATATAGTTTGCGTTTATTCACTTTAATATATGCGTCACCCGGTACATGTTTACCCCGGTTTATGTTTACCCCGGTGCGTGTTTGCCCCGGTGCGTGTTTGCCCTGGTGTGTACCTCCCCCTGGTACATGCCTCCCCGGTGCGTGTTTACCCCGGTGCGTGTTTGCCCCGGTGCGTACCTCCCCGGTGCGTACCTCCCCCGGTGCGTACCTCCCCCGGTGCGTATCTCCCCCAGTGTGTACCTCGCGCTGGTGTATACTTTACCCCGGTGCGTTTTACCCCGGTGCGTACCTCCCCTGGTACATGCCTCCCCCGGTGCGCGTGTTTGCCCCGGTGCGTCTTTACCCCGGTGCGTACCTCCCCTGGTATATGCCTCCCCCGGTGCGTGTTTGCCCCGGTGCGTCTTTACCCCGGTGCGTGTTTACCCTGGTATGTGTTTACCCCGGTGTATACCTCCCCCAGTATATATCCTTTCCTGGTACATATATCCCCCCGGTGCGTCCCCTCCCCGGTGCGTATATCCCCCAGTGTATATTCTTTCCCGATACATGTGTCCCCCGGTGCGTCCTCCCCTGGTATATAGCTCCTGCTAGTGTGTATCTCCCCCAGTTCGTGTGTTTACTAGTATATACCTACCCCTGGTACATGCCTCCCCTTGGTGCATGCCTGCCCCGGTGCGTATCTCCCCCGGTGTGTGTATCTGCCCCTGGTATGTATTTCCCCCCGGCACATGGCTCCCCCTGGTATATGCCTCCCCTGGTACGTGGCTCCCCCTGGTGCGCACCTCCCCGGTGTGTGTGTCTCTCCCCGGTGTGTGTATATCTCCCCTGTGTATATACCTCCCCTTAGTATATATCTCCCCCGGTGCATACCTGCCCCTGGTGCGTACCTCCCCTGGTATATATTTTTTCCCGGTATATATATCCCCGGTGCGTGTTTACCCTGGTGCGTGTTTATCCCGGTACGTTTACCTTTGGTACATGCTTTCCCCGGTGCGTACCTCCCCTGGTATATACCTCCCCCGGTGCGTACCTCCCACCGGTGTATACCTCTCCTTGGTACGTATTTCACCCCCGGTACACGTGTTAACTGCTATATGCCTTCCCCTAGTGCGTACCTCCCCCGGGTATATGCCTTGCCCTGGTATACACCTCCCCCGGTGCGTACCTCCCCTGGTACATGCCTTCCCCCGGTGTGTACCTTCCTCGGTGCATATCTCCCCTGTTGTGTGTGTACCCTAGTATATATATATTCCCTGGCATATATATTTTTAGTATATATATCCCCTGTCCCCTAGTACATGTCCCCTGGTATATATATCCCTGGTGTATATACTTAGCATGTGCTCCCTTTACTTTTATACACCTCCCCTGCGTGTATATATTTTACGTGTGCTTTTTCTAATACATGCCTTTTTATACTTTTATACCTTCCTCTAGTATATATTTTTTACTACTATATACCTCCCCCAGCGCATACCTTCCCCAGTGCGTACCTCTCCCCGGTGCGTATTTTTCCTGGTATATATCTCCCCGCGGTGCATACCTGCCCCTGGTATGTACCTCCCCCGGTGCGTGTGCCTCCCCCGGTGCGTGTGCCTCCCCCTGGTATATATCTCCCCGGTACATGGCTCCCCCTGGTACGTAACTCCCCCGGTGCGTACCTCCCCTGGTACGTGGCTCCCGCTGGTGCGTATCTCTGCGGTGACTATGTTCCCCTAATACATATTTACACTAGTACATGCCTCCCCCCCGGTGTACATACCTCCCCCGGTGTGTATACCTCCCCCGGTGTGCATACCTCCCCCCCGGTGTGTATACATCCCCTTGGTGTGTTACCTCCCCACAGTGTGTGTACCTCCTCCTAGTATACATATCTCCCCCGCTGCATATCTACCCCCAGTGTATATCTCCCCGGGTATATACCCCCTCGGTGCGTGTGTGTGTTTACTAGTATATACCTCTCCCTGGTATATGCCTTCCACCGGTGCGTACCTCCCCTGGTATATGCCTCCCCCGGTGCGTACCTTCCACCAGTGCGTGTTTACCCTGGTGCGTCTTTGCCCTGGTGTGTGTTTACCCCGGTGCGCCTTTGCCCTAGTACATGCCTTCCCCCGGTGTGTACCTCCCCGGTGCGTACCTCCCCTGATACATACCTCCCCCGGTGCGTACCTCCCCCGGTGCGTACCTCCCCCTGGTCCGTGCCTTCTCCCGGTGCATGCCTTCTCCCGGTGCATACCTCCACCTAGTATATATACTTTGCGTTTGTTTACTTTTAATATATATGTCCCCTGATATATATTTGCCCCCGGTGCGTGTTTACCCCGGTGCGTGTTTGCCCTGGTGTGTGTTTACTCCCGGTGTGTTTTTGCCCCGGTACGTACCTCCCCTGGTACATGCCTCCCCCATTGCATGTTTGCCCCGGTGCGTGTTTGCCCTGGTGTGTCTTTGCCCCGGTGCGTGTTTCCCCGGTGCGTGCTTTTTACCCCGGTGCCATGCCTTCCCCGGTGCGTACCTCCCCGGTGCGTACCTCCCCCGGTGCGTGCCTCCCCCCTCCTGGTGCATGCCTCCTCCCGGTGCGTACCTCCCCTAGTATATATATCCTTTTACGGTACATGCCTCCCGCGGTGCGTACCTCCCCCCTAGTATGTATCCTTTCCTGGTATATTTATCCCCAGTGCGTCCTTCCCCGGTGCGTACCTTCTCTTGGTTCCCTGGTATATACCTCTGCCTAGTACGTGTGTCCACCGCTGTTTATATCCCTATATTATATATGCTCTGCATGTGCTCCTATATTATATACACTTATTAGTCTAAATAACAATTATAAATATATTACTGTTCTTGCTACACTGTATACTAACTAGTTATACCACAAACCCCGTGGATCCCCTCAATTCTTTGCAGATCTGCCATAGCCAGCAAAATAATGCGAATAACTGGCTGTGCTGGCCTTTGGCTCCCCTCCGTGGCCTGCCCCAAAACTGCAACACTTGCATGGTGTTGTTTGCGTCCACCCCGTGCTGCTGCAACCGGCGCTGCCATAGTGGCTGGATCTGCTCCTCCCACGGGCCGTACAGTATTACAGCTGTCATGGGGACCAATATATCCTTATATACACACTCGGTTTGTGTTGGATGGCCATCTAGTACCTCCCATCGTCGACAGATCGTCTGCGGCATATAACAGCGGTAACAAGCGGTATATCTAGCGAATGGAATCTTATACTGGCGAACTAGATTAACCCATGCCTTGGCTTTGTCGCTTTTGGGCCCACGACAAAGTATAACTCGTGTTCGTTCCGTTCCCGTCCTGCAATGGTGCAAATATAGCACTTTTTCTGCCATGGTGCTATCTCGTTTTCAATAGTTTCCTCGTCCAACCACTGCCGTGCATCTTGCACCTGGTGTTGAATACGGGGCGCTGCATGGCGCTGGTCTTGCACCCGTTGGCGCTGGCGTTTCGGCGATACTAACCGTGGGCGTGGGATTGGGGGCGATATTTTGCGTGCTCTGTGGTATAACATGCGATATTACTTGAGTTTCAAATGATTCTGTACTGTCATGGGATTGGGACCGGCGTGTGGGATTTGGCGCGATATTCTGCGTGCTCTGTGGTATAATATGCGATAATGGAAATAATTCGCCACTACCATGGGAATGGGGACTGCCCGTAGCGCTAATCTCGCGTGGTGGGCTTGTCGTGCTGGCGAGATCGTCCATGCGGGTGTCCGGGGAATATCTGTCCGGGGACATGCAAACCGACTCCTGCGCGAGCCAATCGGCGTCACAGCCGTCACAGAGTGCCTCGGTGGAATCAATATCCTGACAGTATCGGCGCGTATAGCCATTCACTGTTTCGTCCATGTACGCGTCAATACAAACCGTCGACATCCCACCCCGGGCGCCACCCCGAGGTACTCGTCCACCAACTCGCGATCCGCCACGGCCTCTGGCGTCTCCGGCGTGGGCTCGTCCCAGCCCTCGGGCTGGATAATAATCGCCTCGCTGCGCTGGCTATCCCGTCCGGCTCGCCCACTTTCCTGCCCGTACTCCAACAACGACCGCGGTGTTCCAATATGGATAATACTGCGAATATCGGGGATATCCACACCCATGCCCAATGCACTGGTGGCGGTAATTACTCGCGCCTCGCCCGGGTAAATCGCTGTAATATAGATGGCTTGTCAACCTGCTTGCTGTAGTACGCCTCGCACGCTAACTCGCGTGCAATCTCCACTACCTGACGGACCACATGGCCGTATACCACCACCTTGCCATCCTTGGCGCGCTGGATTCGCTCGCGGATAAACGCGAGCACCGGCTCGCTGGTAAACCACTGCATGGAACGCCGACCCAGCTCGGGCCGCCACACGCGATACGCCACGTTGGGACGGCTTGTCCGGTCCCGAAATATATGGACTTGCTCGCGGGAATACTCCATGCGCCGGAATAACTTCGCCTCCAACCGCGGCGGCAACGTGGCAGTTAATAACACCATCTGGGTTCGCGCGTGGTTCAACCGCCCCAGCTGTCGCAACTCGGGTCGGAAATCCGTTTGGTCGTTTAATATCACATGGCATTCGTCGATCACGATCCGGTCTAACCGGCGTGTTTGCTGCAACCGGTTAATAAACGTTTGAAAATCCTCCTGCACCGCGGATTCCGGTGTGACCAGTACAATTGTCGCTTCGTCCGGTGGCCGTCGACTATCCCATTCAATGCAGGATATACCCAACTCGCGACAGCGCCGCACCATATCGTTCCGCAATGATATTAATGGCACGACCACAATGGTAGTACCACTGGGCTCGGCGAATGCAGGTAACATAAACAACATGCTTTTTCCCCTCCGGTGCGCATAATGGCGACCACCGGGCTCTTGCCGTCCTGAATGGCGCGCAACGCCGGTGCTTGGACGCCCCGGAACTGGATATCCTCTTGCCCGGTCATGTGCTGCAACGTGGTGCGCATATCTGCGATATTTAACCGGTGACGTCGGACCACTCGGCCCTCCTCGGCTTCGTCCTCCCATGGTGATCTCTTGCGCTTCCCCAACGGGCTGGGCTCCGCGGCGGATGCAAACCCCAAAACCGGTGCCAATCGGTGCTGGAGAGTCGAAACATTGCACGGCGATGTGCCGTGGTCCCAGGCTGCTCCATAATACCACGGCCGTACACTCCACCCGCCAATTGGGATGAATGCGCCGCCTGCAAGTCTGCAATATGGCCTAACCACTGCTCCTCGTCCATACCCTCCTCGGTGTCGGCGTTTAACACAGCCTGCGCCAAGTCTCTCTCCTCCTGCATGTTGCTGGCAAACGCGGCAGTGGGTCGCAAAAATCGTCGGCTAATCCCAATGGCGATATCCCGATACCACTGGATATTAATGGCTTCTTTTAACCGGGTCTTGGTTTCGCGCTTTAACACCTCCCGGAACCGCTCGGACGTCCATTTGCGCCGGGTTCCGGGGTCGGGGCCCCATAAAAACGCATCTTCGCGGATCTGCGCTGCGTGCGTGCCCTGCGCTGTGGTGCCCTGCGCTGCGTGCGTGCCCTGCGCTGTGGTGCCCTGCGCTGCGTGCGTGCCCTGCGCTGCGTGCGTGCCCTGCGATGTGTACGTGCCCTGCGTTGCGTGCGTGCCCTGCGTTGCGTCCATGCCCTGTGCCGTGGTGCCCTGCGCTGCGTACGTGCCCTGCGATGTGTACGTGCCCTGCGTTGCGTGAGCGCCCTGCACCGTGGTGCCCTGCGCTGTGGTGGTGCTTTGCGCTGTGGTGGTGCTTTGCGCTGTGGTGGTGCCCTGTACTGCGCGTATTCCCTGCGTGCCCTGCGTTGCGTTCGTGCCCTGCGCTGTGGTGGTGCCCTGCACTGCGTGCGTTCCCTGCGTTGCGTGCATGCCCTGCGCCGTGGTGCCCTGCGTCTGCTTCGCATGCCATGCGCTTAGTTGCTGCACAAATGGTAATACCAACCATAAATACCACACAATTAATTCACCCACCTCCCGTGGCACAAATCGATGAATGATCTTTATATCGTTACTCGCGTAAAACCCCTTGTGGTACGCCGTCACCAACGCCACCATCCCGTCCTCGATATAGATATTGCGCTGTCGATTCGCCACGGTATTCACATGTTGAATGCTTAATAACTCGGGTGCGCGAGCCGGCTGGCCGGATACCACGTGAACAAGCACTGCTAATTTCTCCTTAAATCGCGCCACGCGCTCCAGATACTGCGCCACCTTCGGCATGTGCAGCCGTCGGGCTTGGCGCCGGACGGTAAACTCCTTCTGCACGGCCGGCTCGGCCGCAACCGGCCGATCATCCACTTGGGCCCCACCGGCCATTGCGTGCGCTGATCCCGCAAAAATTCCATCCCACCGTGGCCTGCGTGGGGTCGTCGTAGATCGCGTGCCATGGAATACTGGGAATGTCTTCCCGCGCTGTCACGCACAGTATGTCGCACAATATCTGGCGTGTGGCCCCGACCAATCCATGGACAAATCCGCGGAAATCGCCCATGGTAAATGTGATATGCTTGTATCCGAGCTCGTCGCCATGGTTCCATGTAATGTGCCCGGGCGCCGTGGTATTATAATGGATCTTTAACCCGTACGTGCGCCAATCCTGCAACGTTTGTATTGGACTGTGGGTGCCACGCACCATAAACCGCTGCACCATCCACTCCACGTGCTCCTGGAATGTTTTCCCGCGATTCTGCCGGCGGATATTCACTATCGGTTGGGGATTACTGCTGGTAATGGGCGATGTGGGGGCGATGATGGGATGCCTTGCTCTGGTTGACTGTAATATCCCTCGTCCGAATAAATATCCTCCAGCTCGTCGTCGGCGCTGGCGAGCACCCACTGCGCGCAGTTACTCTTCTTCTGCCACACCGCGATAATCTCCTCGGGATTCGGATCCAACCAAAGCGCTTTCTGGACAATTATAAAGCGCGCCACCTTGATCACACGCGATAAGATCGGGGATAACTCTCCGGGCCCTGCCATCTGTCCCGGCCCCATCCCAACACGGCCATGGCACATACAAGCACGCTCTCGTACTCATGGCTACGCTGCTTTTGGTTTAGCAACTCGATGCAAAACTCCAAACACGCGCCTTCGATCGGGGTCATGCGCCACGCTGCGTCGTCGTCCTGCGGCTCGCCGGGAATATCCCGGTGGGTAGTGGCGAGGTGCCATAACTGCCGCCATTTCTTGCGCTGCCGTGCTGTCATCCCGTACGGGGACTCGTCCATCCGTGTGGCGCCTGGGTGCGCGCGATAAACGCTAGGATTTGCTGCCATGGCTGCATATGCTTAACCACGCTCTCGGTATCCATATACGCCTGCAACGGTCGATATGGTGTTTGACCCTTTTCAGATCGGATGGCTTCAATGCAGATTGCCTGGCCGCTGTGCTGGACCACGCGCTGGCTCTTGCGCACGACCTGCTCCATGGCGGCCCAAATGTGGCGCACGCCCTGCTCCACGGGATCTGTGGGCTCTTCCTCGGGCGGCGCCACGCTGTCGGTTAGATCCTTTGGTGCGATTCCTTCTAAATACTCGGACCACCGGGTCATGCGCAGCCATGGGTTGGCGTCGGTAATATCAGATGCCTGAATTGTACTCGGCGTGGACTGCGCCTCCTTCCACGCGTTCTCTAGCTCCTGGACAGCAACCTGGATATCATCTGTGGGGATCGCCGGTTCGTCGTTCTCATTTGGATTGCGGATGTGAATATAATGCGATCCTTTGCGCGATGGGAATATCTGCTGGCATGTCACAGATATAAAGGATCGCTGCAGCTCAGCATCTGCACGCACGCGCTCGTCACGGCTTACTCGACCACCATGCGGATACTGGGACCATCCATGGGTGGTGCGCCAGTGCTTTCGCATATTCTCAATTGTTCTTCCTATGTACTGACAGCCCGGGGAATCCCGCCGACATAATAAACCATCAGGTTGTACGGGTATTCCAACCAACGCCTGGTCCAACTGATGGGGAAAATTAACCTGATCGGGGAATGCGCAATATCCTCCCATTGCATTACCTTCTCGCTAATCTGGACAGCATCGGCGTGTGGGATTTGATGGGCGCGATTTTTTAAATGGCGGAGAACCTCGGGGGCCACACACCATGCTGGCATTGCTTGCAAATAATAACAGGTAACATATCAAGCTTCTCGAATATCTGGTGCTCCATGGCCGAAATTAAATTGTTTATTTAAACGCGATCGTATAACTGCAGTTGGGTGTGTTTACCTCTTTCCTAAATAATCCTGCAACCTGGCAAGTTTGGTGGTTATGTAATAACGGCTCGGTCGGCTGTGATACCCCAACAAAATAATTAAGTCGAATAATAAACATCGACCACCACCACAGTATTATATAACGGAATTTCAAGCTCCCATTTTGCCAAGTTACTTTTATAGGTGTCCTGCATCTACTATAAAAATTTAAGCTATGGTATGGGATTATGGGTTGTCGAGCTACCCTACGTTTATAATTTGGAACGACTATATGTTAACGAGAATTCTGCTAGCCAATCAGCGCACGATCCTCGCCCCACTGTTATCCGACCCTAACCAGACTCTACCAACATCCGCCCCAGGCCTGTGGAATAGGCCTGATTCCAATTCTCCTCCTGAGAGCCCTAATTCCTTTGCGTCATTAAGTCAAATGTCTGAAGATGAAGAGGTGCTCCTTAATAAAAAAGGAGATGGAAAAAGCTTTGCAAAAACAAATAGAAAGTGATGCCAAACAAAGTTATATCCAAAAACTTGAGTCTGCAAAGATCTTACTGCAAGAGATCCACCATAGTTTAGCAAATGCTAAGATCCTTGAAGCTCTAGATATGCATCTGGAGGGCCTCTCAGCTATCCAAGACAAATTGCAAAATCCGGAAGCTAAAGGATCCCTGCTTTCCAAAGACAATCAACTTCAAAAACTCCAGAAAGAGGTTAACGCTATTAATCAAAAACTTGATAAAATAGCCCTAGCCTCTTCTCAACCAAAGCAAAACCAGTAAAGCCTTCATACGCAGCAGCAGTCCAAAAAGGAATAAAACCGCAAGTAGTTATCCCAACCAAGAAACAAGATCAGCCAAAACGGGTAGAACAGGCCGCCTACAAAGGTAGTAGGCTTATTCTAGAGGTTTCTGCAGAATTTCTGCAAGACCTAGACTCCTTAAAGCTCCGAAACCAAATCAACCACCAGTTCCAGATAAAAGAAAAAAGGTAGACAAACCTATAGTAAGGACAGCAAGCACTTCCTTTACTAAAAGGACCCTTATCCTCACCACAATGGACGGTATTCAGGCGCCTTATTTAATAGAGAAGCTGGATGTCTGGAAACCACTTATCCCCTATACTAAGTGGATGTTTGATGAACCATGGGCAAAAATAGTTATTCACATGGTCCCCACCAGGCCTTTTGAAACCCAAGAAGGCATGCAGATGCTCAAGGAAGAGATCGAAATCTTTAACCCAGGTCTAAAACTAATGAGGCCCCCAACATGGCTGACCCCAGAACATGTCCGCGAGACCAAAAAATCACTCCTCTATTGTAGTGGACGTGCAGAATGAAGCCATGGCATCCAAGGCAATTAAAAATCAACTCTGTGTTGCAGGAGCTTTATGTAGAGCTACTAAATATATAGAGAAAACTGCCCAATGCCAAAAATGCCAAGGATACAAGCATATTGCCAAATACTGCAAGAATAATCCAAAATGCGCTATTTGCGCAGAAAGGCATGAAACCCAATACCATGAATGTTCCACATGCGAAGTAAAAAGCCAGGAATGTCCCCACACACAGGTTAAATGCGCTAATTGCAATCAAGCCCACAGAGCAGATAGCAAAAACTGCAAGGAATGGGAAAAAGTCAAACCAAAACCAAGGCCTAGGCCTACAGAAAGACCAATCCCAAACAGTAACATGGAATTAGATTACTAATGAATCAGAAAAACACTGATTTTAGGAATCTATTTCCTGCAAAATAATACTGGACGCAATCAGAATGCTATGTTATCTTGCTTAGAAATAGGCCTGGAGCTTAATATCGACTTTATTATCATCCAGGAACCATGGATAGCGCCTGATAATAGCTTTACTATATCCCACCCAGCATACACCCCAATCCTCCCTGAGCAAACCAAGGTTAGACCTAGAGTAGCAATCTACCATAGAAAGCTATCTAGGTTTAATTATTGCCAAAGAAACGATATTAGCACTGATAGTGATTTGCTGGTAATAGATATCTTAGGTGCAGAAATCCAAGATCTGCAGCTAATAAATATATATAACGAGCAATCACTAGAGGAAGGCGCCGAGTGGACAATAGAAAGAGCCCTAGCTAGGGTACCCCCCCCTCCACACATGCAGTAATAGGGGGACTTTAATGCACACCATAGCTGGTGGAACTCAAAGACATTATCACCTACCAGGGCTGATACTTTGATTAAATGGCTTGAAGAACATCAATGTGAACTGCTAAATAAACCTGACCTGCAAACATGCCATAGAAAAGGAATGAGAAATGTCTCTGTTATTGACTTAACCTTTATTACCAAAGGTCTAAATCAATATAGAGTAAATTGGGAAATTGACCAAGAACTCGCCTCGGGATCAGACCACGAAATTTTGCTTTATTCTGTTGAAGTAAAAACACAAGAAATTGAAAACCCCTGGTCAGTTTACCATATAACCTAAAAATGGCAAATTGGGCATTATTCAGCAAGAAAATCCTCGAGCTAGATACAAGCCAAGAATTCAGACAGGGGAGCTTTAATACCGATATAGAGCTAGAAACCGCAGCTCTAAATCTGCAAGAAATAATTCAAATAGCTGCAGATGCTAGTATCCCAAGAAGAAAACCATCTGCCCAGTCAAAAGCATGGTGGTCAAAGGAACTTAAAATACTAAGGAAACAGCTTGGAAAAGCTAGAAAACTTTGGAAAAATAACCCATGTCCAGAGCTCTACGAAAATCTTCTAGAGATTAAAAAAATCAATATTTCCGGGAGATTAAGCAAGCTAAATCCGCATGCTGGAACAAATTCCTAGAAGAAGCTCGGAACAGGGAGATTTTCAAAGCTTTTAGCTATACTAAAAAGAGATCTGTTCAAAAACTGCCTATCTTGACCTATTCTATAGAGAATCAAGAGAAGCAAGCAATCTCCTTTCAAGATAAATGTCATGCATTTCTTTCCACCCTGTTTCAAAACCCCGGAGGCTAAGCCCATTGAGTGGCCAACCAACCAGGCAGAGTCAACCAACTGGCCAGAAACCAGGGAAAACGAGGTGTACACTGCTATCTTTAGTAGCTCTACAAAAAAGGCTCCTGGACCTGATGACATCTCATTCTTAATTATTCAAAAGGCTTACCAAAATATTGCTCCGAGATTCCACGAGCTTTATAAAGCCCTAATTAGAAATGGTTATCATCCCAAATGTTGGAAAACTGCCAAAGGGGTTATTCTTAAAAATCCGCGTCTGCTAAAAGGGACTACTCCAAGCCCAAGGCCTACAGAGTTATTTCCCTGCTTAACTGCCTAGGCAAGGTAGTAGAGAAGATTATTGCAACTAGGCTATCTTATCTAGCTGAACTCCCGCAATCAATCCTTTACCATGACCAAATGGGGGAAGAAAAAAGAAAATCAGCAATTGATATAGCACTATCCCTAGTCCATGACATAGAGGTGGCAAAACATAATAAAATGGTTACTACAGCTCTTTTTATAGATGTAAAAGGAGCTTTTGACCATGTATCTACCAACCAGCTACTTAGAATATGTCTAAAACTAGGTCTTCCACATAACCTGATCCGGTGGATCAAATCCTTTATGTCGGACAGGAAAGTGTTCCTAGCTTTTGACGGTGAAACCAGCAACGAGACCCCAGTGCAAGTAGGGATCCCCAGGGATCACCTATATCACCATCTTGTTCCTTATATATATTAGAGAGCTCTTTCAGCTTGAAATGTATGAGGAACTAGATAGTGATACAAGGAAAGCCTTTGGAAATACCCGAAAGCCTAGCTATATGGATGATATATGCCTTACTATTAGCTCTAATAGCCTAGAGAATAACTGCAGGCAAATAGAGCTGGTAGCCAATGCCATGTTTAAAAAGGAGCCAAAGACCATATCCAGTTTGACCAGGATAAAATAGAGCTTATTCACTTTAGCTCTAAACAACCAGACCAAGAAAACCAAGACATCCAGGTTAAACTAGATAATAATATCATAGTTAAACCAAGCCCTATGGTAAAATGGCTAGGAATCTACATAGATTCTAAACTCCTTTTCAAAGAACACGTGCAAATACGAGTTGCAGCTGCAACTAGGGCATTTCACCAAATAGCGAGGCTCTCAAATACAGAAAAGGGGCTAAGCTTCCAAGCTATAAGACAACTCTATATAGCATGCATTTCGTCTATTGCAGACTATGGAGTCCCTTTATGGTGGAAAGGCCAACAGTACCTAGTAGACCACTACCAGAAACTGCAAAATACAGCCCTAAGGAAAATTCTAGGGACTTTTAAAACATCGCCTATACAGGCCATGGAAATAGAAGCATCCCTGCCCCCACCATTAGTTAGATTTAATAAAATCTGCAGAAACTATGTACTCAGGACTGCTTATTTTATAAAATCCCATGCAATCCAAAGCAGACTTCCAACCACGTTTACGCTAAACCCGGGGAATTTGCCATTGACCAATCAAGGTTTTAGACTGGAATGAGAAACCTAGACGGCTAGATCTAGAAGACCCTGAATACCATCCTAGAGAGACACAAAGAAAACACCCTAGCCAGTTAATTCGACTGCTAGCACTTTTCTCTTTTAAAACATGGAAAGGCACCTTCCAGACACTAGATCACACCCTACCCCCTGGTCCCAGCCATTAAACCAAATAATAGATATATCTATATCTAGCAAACCAAAAGAGCAAGCAGCCCAGGAACACAAGGCGCTAATATCTCAATGGCTTGCTGGTAGAGACAACCACAAGATTATCTTTTATTCAGATGGATCCCAGCTGCAAAGCGGTCAAAATGGAGCAGGAATCTTCCTCCAAGAAAATAATCCTCAAAATCAAAAGGCTTGGGCATGGAATCTAGGTCACGAATACGAGGTCCACGACGCG